AATATAGATAAAATTGCCTTAACTACACCGAGTACCAAAAAAATAAACAAAAAAGTCCTTATATATAATATAGATAAAATTTGATTAATAAGGGCGCCAATCGAGATTGCTGTCCCAAGCGGCGTTACAGCTCTCGGCGGCCCTGCAGCTATTACTGTATTTGTGCTAGGTTTTTAATGTTTAGTTACTATAAACTATAAACAAGTAAAATTAAAAACGAGTTTTTAAAACCCAATTCTTTTATTTGTTATTAAAACACAAATTTTGCAATTAATTTTTTCTGATATTACTGTTTTACTTATTAACACTCGGCTGTATGCGTTTGTCAAAAAACAAAATAGTTCAGAAAAATGCTGGTCACGAACACCTGACTTTTTGATTACGAAGTCAACGCTTTACACTAAACGCGTATAAATAGGAAAACAGTTATAATACTTATTTATAAAAATTTTATTATTTTTTTCATATAAAAAATAAACTTAATTAAAATTACTTAAATTAATTGACTTCTTAAAAAACTAATTATTGAATATAGTATTATCATCTAGCAAAAGTATGTATACAAAATTTGAAGAAAATCCATCATCAGGAAGTTACTCAAAAATTGATTGCAAGATTTGATGCTCACCGACAAATAAACAAACAAAAGAATATAGACGACGAGTTAATAAAAACATTGGAAACAAAATTATAAAAAAGTAAATTGATTTTCATTAAAAAATGTTGAGATACATCCTAAAGAAGTTTAGGAATAGTTATTCTCGTTAGTAGTACTAACCGGAGTACTTATTTACTAGCTTAAAATGACTGGGGGAGTACCTTTTTACTAGGAAATAAGTACTCCGGGAATACTTATCTACGGGGAATCATTTTAGACTGCTAAACCGGGCACGATTACACATATTTTTGATTAAAACGTGGTATTAAACTCGTATTTAACACTTAAAACTAGATGCACATTTTTCTGGTACCAACAGCGGCATATTAAACGTGATAAATACTAAGGCTATTTACAATACCAGATGCCCCGGCTGGGTTAATCTTTTTTCTTTGCGAATTTACTCTTTTTCAGCTGCTCAGAAACCAAAGAAATATTTGACGACTTCTCCTGAACAATTTTGCTCATAAGTTTATTTAAAATAGAAGGTCATGCCAGACTATCAGGCTTACTAAAAATGAGAAATCCTTCAATTAAATCTGCACTTTCATATACATTTGGCTTCTGACGAAATTGATGCGTCATCAGATTATTTACTAAAATAAACAAATTTCCTTGAATAAAGTTGAAGAAATTGAATTATACAACAGTTATTCACATTTTCTTCATTTTGATTAGTTTTAGACTGATGTGAAGATCTTGAAGAAAAAAAATGTGTTTGCTTATACACTTTACTTAACACAGCTTCGGCTGCTTAAGAGGCTAATTTTCTTCTCCGAGCACCTGACAGTTTATTTTTTTATCACCAAATTCAAATTTAAACTAACATTGCAAAACTTTAATTTCGTTTCTGGAAACATAAATTCTCCATAATAGAAGTTATTTAATTTATCATTTCTGATTACTACTGATTACACTTTAAAACCCTTATTACAACATTTTTAATAACTTACTGTCTTATCGGTTTATTTAACTTTCCGCGCAAAACAATTAAAACAAACGTCGCGAAACGAACTTTAATCTAGCGTAAATAAAAGAAATCTTTAAAAAATATGTAATTTTTTAAAAAACAAACCAACAATATTGTTAGATAGTTTTTGCAACTAAGTACAACTCAATCCGATCTGCGCCCAACATTTTCAGTATTTACTTGATTTTCATACACAAAGTAAGGACCCAAGGTGTCACGAGAAAAAGTTTTTTTTATATATTTTTCAGATTTGAGTAGGATACTACTGTTCTAAGTGAACAGCGGAGCGATCAAGAATCTCTTTAGTGGAGGTTGTATATTGGTCGTCTTGTCTGACAAAAAGGATTGAACCCAATAGACAAACTGCATTAATAATTGGGGAGGTTTAGGGGTTTGGAACAAAAAGTTGATATGTCAACAAAGACCGCTGGAAAAAAAAAAATTGCCCCTGCATCCGGGGTAATTTGCCAACAGATTAAAATTAAAAAAAGGATTTACTATAAGAAATTTTATACTTAGCTAGAAATTTTATAAAAATAGTTTTAAGAATAAAATAGTTTCGATAATTTTGTGCAAAATTTGGAATTTGGATTAATATGGAATACTGTAATATTCTATATATATAAATATACATATATACTATATACAGTGCCGTGCCAAAAGCCCCCCAAACCCCCCGGTTGGGGGGCCTAGGAATTTGAAGGGGCCCTTTTTGAAAATTAAAATTATGATATAGTTGTTTTTTATTTATTTATAATATTAAAACTTCGTATTAACGTTCGCTTATTTTTTTTAAATTTGGTAAACCTAACAAAATGATGCATGTATTGACATGCATACAATGATGATTGTATTGACTGGCGAATTTAAAGGAGGGGGTGGGGATTAGCCCCCAAAGAACTACCAAACTTTACATTTTTATTAATAAAAATTAAAAAAAAAAAAGGAAAATTAAAAAAATACTGTTTTAAAGTTATACACACATTTAATATATATACTGTATAATCTCTCTAATTTGAATCTCCTTAATTTGAAAACCTCCATAAATCGATTAAATGCAAAGTCACCGTGAAATACCCTTATGTGAAAAAAACTTTCTGTAATTCTAAAATCACTCTAATTCGATTTTTTATTTTCCCCATTTTTGATTGAATTAGAGAGATTGTACTGTATATATTTGCCAATATATAAACATTGTAAATGATCAAATGAAATAGTTGTTTAACCTAAAAAATAGGGCCCTTTTTTTTGTTGTTGTTCCGACTATCCTCCATTAGGACCAATCAGTGACCTGGATCCGCCATATATTGTATTGCTGAGTTAGTGGACGTTTTATTTTAGTAAAACTTTCGTTTAGAAAGTTTTTTTTTGTGTAGCTTGGTTTATGATAAATCTTATGAAAAAGATGCTTTGTATTACTAAATTAGTCTACGCAGCGCAAAGATACAGCTGCCGATTTTTAATTTAAAAAGAAATCTTTTATTCAAAAGATTGCCTGCCCAGGCCAAAACCCTCCTTCTATGTATGTACGTTCCACTACACCAATCCTTAGATAGTCAGTCGATGTATACACACTCCACTTCGCCAATTTCTAGATAGTCAGTAGACGTGTGTACACTAAATTGTGTTTACCCCTATATCAGTATACAAGTATATATTTGCAACCTATAAAAAGAAACAATCAGATTTCGCTACTTGCTGAATTCCGATTGGTTCATTAATAGTCACAATGACTATTAGTGACTTTAGGCACAAAAATTAAAGCAACAGTACCGTTGCGCTAGACACAGCGTTTAGTTAAATTACAAAACATCAAATTATTATTTAATTCCATTTTTTTTTTTTTCTTCTTACTTTTTAATTTTATCGATAAAACTTTAAAGGTTGACAGTTCTTAGGGGGTGCGGGTGGGGCGGTGAGGAAGGAGTGATTTTAAAAACAAATTACCACCTCCTAAACCGGGGGACGGGCTTGACGTGTTACAAGGGCCCAAAATTTTTTTTTTTTTGGGGGGCCTACCAACTGTCTGGCACGGCACTGACTATATATAGGTATATATATATATATATATATATATATATATATATATATATATATATATATATATATATATATATATATATATATATATATATATATATATATATATATATATATATATATATATATATATATATATATATATATATATATATATATATAATATTTTAACTGTATTGGTGAAAAATATCGTGAAAAAAAGTTTAAAAATGCTTATCTTATTTGTTTTTATTTTTGACCTTCAATAAGTAATTATTCATATTTATACGTGTGACCATTTTGAGTCAGTCATGTAATTAAATATGTCTGAAGAAATGGAAAAAAAAAAGTATTGTTACTCTTGTTTCTTAAAGAGTAGTAATAGGATAAAGTGTGTTGCATGCTTTGAGCAAAACATTGAATTTTAGATTAATTTAATAAATACAGAAATTTCAAAATCTATTGAAGTTCTTAACGTCAATTACCGTATCTGTGTTAAAATATGAATTTTCCCCTCATTAAGTAAAACTAAATTACAAAAATACTTAGATTTTACTAAAACATCTTTTTTGTGTAACCAAAAAGCTGTAATTTGTGTAACTAATATGCTGCAAGCATAAATTCCAAGAAAAAAAGAAACTTCCGAAAATGGCAATGTTCAAACATCAAATATTGTTAAATTGAAATAATCTTTTTAGCACAAAAGAACTTTTTATTCAAATAATTGAAAATATACTTTATCAAAAAGCAGGATAATAAAAATTCTCTCAATAGTAATATTTTTCAAAAAAAGTACTAATAATTAACACTAAAGCTTTTACAAAAGTCCATCCTGAAAGATTTGAGTTTATAACGCTTTTTCGTTTA